CCTGTCTTTAGCTGCTTTGCCTCTGTGTGACTAAGATAGGCTTTTTAAAGGGAACCTTGGCCAGATTCCTTTGTCACTTCTTTCTAAATATTCCTACCTGGAGGAGGACGGGAATCTCATGACTCTGGGAAGCGCACAGGGAGTCCAGAGAGTTAGCGAACTCTTGAGGGCCCTCCCTGAGTTATAAAGCAGCACACAGCCACTGGGGAGAGGAGACACTTTCTTGGATCTGGTGACAAATTGCACAGGGAGCCCCACGGATGCAGCTGTTGTGAGCTGTGTCTCTCACGCTGGTGGCGGTTGCTTTTGAGTCTCTCCTGCAGGTGACCCCAGTAAGCTTTTCTTCGGTGGGAATCCCTTCTTCGGTTTGCCATCGATTCCCCGTTTGGAGTGAAGACGTGTTTGCTTACTGGGTCTCTAGAAAAGTCATGTCACAGTCCCGTTCCCCGGCTCCTCAGAAGAGTCTTGTCTGGCTTTTATCGTGAAGATGTTTTGGGGCTGTGATCAAGTCCATAACTGACCAAGTGAGAGAGACTTTCTTAGTTAATCAAGATGGGCCTGACTTCTCTCTGTGGAGAGATATACAAAACAGAACCAAGGCGCCCCTGTCCCGTGGATCTTCTCCCAGTAGAAACCTTTTCTCCTGAAGGGGGAACTGAGGCTTCTAAGACTCAGGAAGTCCCCTGTGGGTGGTGGGTCCAGCTTCCAGACTGCCTCCCTGAAGACTTCCTGCTCTGTGGATGACGCGTTCCACCCATCCTGGGCTTGTTCTGCCAGCTGTAACCTCGTGTACCAATTCCTTGCATTACGTCTCAGCTTGTATCCTCAGGGATCATTTTTCTGGCTGAACCCTGTTGGGTGACAGTGTTCAGCCCTTGGCAGGGGCCTGGCACACACAAGGCAGTTTGTTTTGGAGTCAATGCCAGGCACCAAGAGGGTTTAGGAGGAAAGATGGATCCAGGGGAAGTGGTCACAGCCCCAGGGAGTAGAGGGAGGAGAAGGGGTGGGCTTAGGTCGTGTCTAGGAAGAACTAAGTCTCTGTGAGTAAGAAATAGCAGAGCCGAGGAGACGGCTCAGTGGCTAAAGTATTTGCCACAACACCAGGGGGGACTGGAACTTGGATTGTGACTTAGGGATTTCTGTTGCTGCCATGAAACACCACATCCAAAAAGCAAGCTGACAAGCAAAGGGCTTATTTGGCTTGCACTTCTGCAATGGAGTCCATTGAAGGAAGTCAGAACAGGAACTCAAACAGGACAGGAACCTGGAGGAAGGAGCTAATGCAGAGGTCATGGAGGGATGCTTCTTACTGGCTTGCTCATCATGGCTTGCACAGCCTGCTTTCTTATAGAACCCAGGACCACTAACTCAGGGATGGTACCATCCACGGTGGACTTGGATCTTTCTCTTTAATATTTAATTAAGAAAATACCCTATGGGCTTGCCTGCAGCCCAATCTTGTGGAGGCATTTTCTTAATTGGAGTTCCTCCTCTCCCTTTAGCTTGTGTCGAGTTAACATAAAACTAGCCAGCATAGATTTCTGGAACCTGTGTAGTTGCTGGGTGGGCATGGTGGCTCACCTGTATTACAGGCCTAGAAGGCAGAGAGATACAGGATTCCAAGAGCAGGCTGGTCAGCGGGAATAGTGGGATTGGCAAGCTCTGGGTTGGACTGAGAGGTCCTCCTTCAATAAATAAGGAGGAAGAACGAAGATAAACCTCAGGTTCCACATTCACTCCAACATTAATAGCCTCCACATGCATATCCACATACACATACATGCATATCCACTCTGCCCCCGTAGATAGAGATTTTTCTCCATCTTTCCCAGTCCCACTGGACCGGTTTCTCTCCACCCATTGGAGCCTGCTTGCTAGTGACCTGTAACTGCTATTAAATAACCACACTGAGGCTTATTATCAGTTATAATTGTTTGGCCAATGTCTTAGATTTCTTACTGACTAGCTCTATCTATTAAATTAACCCACTTCTGTCAATCTGTGAATTGCCATGAGTCTGTGGCTTGCCGGTGCTGCATACTACTCCTTTGGAGGCTTCATGGCATCTCCTTGACTCCGCCCACTCTCTCCCTATCTCTGTTCAGATTTCCCACCTGGGCTTTGTTCTGCTAAGCCATTAGCCAAAAGAGCTTTATTCATCAACCAATAAAAGTAATACATATATAGGACATCCCACATCACCCCTCACATGCCCCACACATGCAGACATGCATGCACACAAGCTCACCACACACACACACACACACACACACACACACACACACACACGAAAAGAAAAGGAAAAAATGGCAGAACCCGAACAGCTGGGCCTGTAGACTCCCTTGACACACCTCTACTCCACTCCCCTGTTTTCATCATATTCTCAGAATACCTCAGTTTCTCTTTATAGCAGTTATACATTTATTTCTGTGAGCCATGCCTGTCTCACCACTTGAGTTCAGTCACTGGGAGGTGGGGATGGATTTGGCACTGTAGAAATTCAGTCTTTTTCTGTGGGACAAATGAATAACCATTATGCCTCCATGTCCTGCCTTAGGGATGAAGTACACTTCACTGTTGAAGGAAGAGGCTCATGTTTGGGGGTTTCTCTTAATGTTCCTGGGGTGGCAGTGGGGCTAGAATCTCAGACTGGAGGAGACAATAGATTTGGAAGCTAGGGAGCTAGGGTGGGTGCTGGACATAAGAGGTGACCTTCTTCCAGCTCTCAGGATCCCGGGAAGCAGGTGGGACCGAGCTGAGGAGTCAGTGGTCTACAGTCATGTGACCACAAGTGACAGGAAGCCCTGAGAGTGAAGTCCAGCTGCCACCAAGCTTGCAGCCCGTGTGACATCAAAGGCCTGTCTGGATCTTGACCAGATATGTGGTGAGACAGTGAATGTCCAGGCTGTAGCCCGCAGAACTAGACAACTCCCCTGCTTCTCCTGTTTGTCTTTGGCCCCGCTTTTAACAATGGAGGTAGCAACACATATTAGAGTGCATGAAGCACACCCAGTTTGGTTAATTCATGTGCATATGTGTGTAGTTTATTTGTGTGTTCATATCTCTTTGTGCATGCGAGTTTATGGGTGTGTGCAGTGGCTGTTTGTGTGTGTGTACAAGCATGCACACATGGATATGTTGAAGCCTGAGGTCAATGCTGGGTGTCTTCCTCAATTGTTCTCCCTCTTACTTTTCTTTTCTTTTTCTTTATTTTTTGTGTGTGTTCAAGAAAGTTTTGAGTTTTATTGATGATGCCTCAAAGTGCAATTAACCTAGTTATCCATCAACAGGTAAATCAATTAAAATGATAGAATAAAACAAAATGTTTACGAAAGTATTAAAAGCACTAAAACAAAAATGCAAGATGTTACAGATAAATCTATAATATATTTTATTCAGTAAAAGGAGTCACACACAAAGAAATACACATACTATATAATTTCGTTTGTGTGAAGGTTAAGATCAGGCAAAGCTAGTAGTGTTTAAAGAAATAAGTAAGATCCAGCTTTTAAAACATTTCCTCCCTGCTTGGGAGGAGCTGACTTCATCACAGGAATAAGGCCGGGAGTGAGTTCCCACACTTCACCCCCTCTGGTTTTTAAGTACAGCCACAACAGTTGGAGCTAAGAGCCCCCCTCCCCACCCCGCCCCAAGCAGCAATGAGAGTGCCCACTCAAGGTCCCCGGGATGAAGTACCATCCTTTTTGTCAGTGATCAGAAACTTAAGACAACTACAGTGCTGAGGGGCAGTGAAGCCTTGGAACATGATGAGGGTTAGAAGGGCATCAGAGCGAGGCCCCATAAATGAATTCTAGTGACTTTATCAGCAAAGGAGATAAATTAGGCATACATGCATAACCTTTTGTCTTTTGCCATGTAATGCTTTGTGCCACCTTTTAGACTCTGCAGGAAGGCCACCGCCACATGTGACCTTTCTATCCAATCTCCAGAACTGTGAAGCAAATAGATCTCTCTCTTTTATTTTTAAGGTTTTACAGCCTTAGGTATTTGATAATAGGTTGGTGCAGTGTCTCTCTGTAAATACAGAACTCTCTGAAGTAGGCATTCTGTGACTCTCCAGTAGAAACTATTGAAGAGATACTGACCATGCTTTGCCATTGTTTGGGCTGAGTTTTCTCTCATATTTTTATCCAGAATCTTTGCTCATTGCTCTGAAACAGAAACACCCATTCCCAGGTGTTATTGTGAGATCTCTTATTCATATCTGTCTCAGCATAAACTTCGTTGAGGTTAGTGTAAATTCTGAATCCTCAATCTAGATAGGAGGAAGTTAGAAGGGAATCATGGGAGATGACTCCATGGGATACTGGGAAAGACCCAAAGTTATTGATGTAATGCAGATAGATCTATGTAGGTCAGAAAATGGGCATTCAAACCAGATGGGTGGGAGCTGGGACAAAGCTGTCAAGACTTTCACGTGCTTGGTTAGGATCAGCACAGTTTGAATTCATCAGTATTTGTTAAAGGCTACTTCTGATAATGCCAGAGTTTAGCAAGCGTTAGTTATGCATGCCATGGAACTTGTTAGAGTAACCCTCTATGCGCACGCTGACTGTACTTGAGAAAAAGTGCTATGTGCCAAGTTCAAGCTTTCTAGGCATCTGTTGCCCCTCCATTTGCCCATTTTACTTTTCAAGCCAGGGTCTCTCCCTGAACCCAGACCAAGCAAGCCCCAGGGTCTTCCTGTCTTTGCCTCTCCAGTGCTGGGATTATGGACACATGCCTCTGTGCCCAGCTTCTGACATGCGTGCTGAGCTTCCAGACTCAGGTCCTTACCCATTGAACCCTCTCCCCTGCCTCCACTTTAATATTCATGTATACAGTTATCCATGTGCTCATCATTAACCTGGAGATGTCCCTGGCTGTAAGAAGTTACCTCCTGCCTGCTCTTTGTGCAATCCTTACCCAAACCTGATTAATCATGGGCACCCCCAGAAGACCCCAAGCTTAAAAAGCAAAGTCACCACATTGAGACCAACTCAAAATCTAAGCCATACTGTTTATTTTTCTCCACAGTATGGACAAAACAAGCCATATGCCAGGGCCTATGAACACTGGGCTGAAGATGTTTTATTCCTGTGGGGACCCAGCCCTGTCCCCGTGGTAACTCTCAGGGACACTCTTGCTTTTCAGGCAGGGGTGGGGTATGGATACAGGAGGGTTAGTGAGGGGACTTTCCCGTGCACCTGTTGATGGTGACCTCGGTGCAAGAGTCAGTCAATCTCCTCTGCAACCTCCTGTCCTAGCTTGTAGAAAGGGCCAGAGTCCTACTAAAAATAAGAAAAAGGAGGTTCTTGGGGGGGGGGGGCAATACCTGGCTTAGACCCAAGGACCCCGGGGAGCCCAGAGGTGTTGGGTTGGCTTTGTGATTATGTAGTTCAGCACTGAAGTTTCCAGATGGGAAAACTAAAACCCAAGGATGTAACAGAAGATGACAAGAACAGAGCTGGTCTTGGGAGCCAGGAGTCTGGAGGTCAGGTTCACTGCTTCGCTCTGTGGTCAAACCAGAGCCTCGGAAAAGCCAGTCTCTTCTGGAACATTCTGAGTTCTCGGTGCTTAATGACCTTCTTGAAGGCAAGCCTGTGAAACCTCCGTGATGTCAAGATTTTCCACGATGAGCCGAGGGCAGCGCAGAGGGACCCAGGGGACATCTATGTCAGGCGACGGGGCTGGGCACCCTGGACATTAGTCTTTTGTCTCTTTTAGAAAGAAACTATTGGAGGACATGGAAAACTGGTGGAACACATCACTCGGTGACACAGTGTATGTGACTTAGAGAGCCTGGTTGTGGAAGGGCTGCCTCAGAACGAATAAAGTGAGGGTGGAGGAACTCTGGGTAGAGTGGGAAGCCTGGACTCCGTCCTGCAGACGCGGAGCTGCGATCTACTACTCCGATGACTCCTTGGGCATATATGCCACATTGTCATAGGCAGGGGGTGGAGAGACTGCTGGGCTGGGGATGGTGAAGTCCGTGCCGAAGGCGTTGGGTAGAAAAATCACAGACTGCAAGGAAACAGAAAATCCTGTCTGGGTGGCTCTGCGGCCTTCGATAAGTGTTGCAACAGTGCCACCCGGTGGACACTCTGAGAACAGCGCCTTCGTGCTGAATGTTCACACACGAAAAGCATCGTTTAATTAACATTTCAGGAAACATTTTATAGGGTCAGTTATGACCCAAGGCTTGAACACACCGCAGGGAGAAAATTAGACAAACCTCATTTCTCTAGGGGCTAGTGAGCTGATGCTTCCTCTCTGGACAGCCCCTCTGAGTTTGGGCCTCTATAGCACTTGCCTGAACCACAGCGCTGGTCTCTGGCTGCTTCCATACCGGTAGCCCTTCACTGTGCTCCTTGAATCCAGTTCATTCCCCCTGCTCCAACCTTAAAAGGCATCCACTAGAACCTGGCTACATTTTCCCGCCCAAACAAGCCTTTGTGTTATCAGTACCCCGTCTTCCCACCCTCTTTTTATCTACCTCCGCACCTTTCCCTTTTTCTTTTCCTCGGGAAAAATAAGTTTAACTTCCACCGAGTCATGCTGTTTTTTCTGCTGTGCCCCCCTGTTCACACTCTGTGGACGGTCTGTGCAAAGTGCGCCCCTCACCCGCCCTAATCCTGTCCTCCAATTCCGAGGGATCTCAGTTCTGCTGCTAGCTCTGGCGCCCTCCTGTGGCCACGGGGTGAATAGTCCAATTTCACCGCCTAGCGTCTTACGGGAAGCTCATCACAGCTCAGCCCCAAAGCGGAAGTGTGAGGGGGCTGGAGGTGAATCTCTTCCTAGACTACAGGCATTCCTCAGGGGCCCTGGACATGGTGTGAGAGTACTCACCGCATTAGTTTGGGCACGGGTGGCTTGGCACCCAAAGTGGGTGGCGATGACAGCGATGAAGAACTCCAGGATGGTGAAGATGGTCAACACAGCAAGGTAGCCCCTGCCCACATCCTGGGGACCCAAACCCACAGTCAAGTCAAACCGAGAGTTTAAAAGTAAAGGTACCCCCTGGACCAAGAATAACGCTCAGGCAAGAGGCAGAGGTAGCCCTGGATCCATGCTTCCTGACTCCAGCCCTGCCCGCTCCTTCCATTCTCCCAGGATTCATCTCCCTTCTCCCCACACCCGATCTTCGGGTAGGGCTATGGTGTCAGTACACTCAAGAGGTCTATCGGAGCAGCAGGCTCTGCAAAATGCCCAGGGTTGCAGACAACTGGGTCTTCCCTAGTTTTGGCTGCAGCCGTTATCTTGCCGGGTTTAGTACCCTTAGGGACATCTGCCAACACACCCAGTTAGTGACTCCAAAGTCCATGAGAAGAATGGCTGTCCCAGCGAAGGCTGCCATGGCACTGAGGATGTTGGTTCCCAGACTGCTCCTCACCTGTGGGAGAGAGAGGGGCACCAAGACAAAGAGGAGAAAGGACAGGAGCTTCAGCTCACTGCCCAGCCTCCTGCATCCTCCCTTTCATGGCCCCGGGGTTGGGGTCATGAGCCCTGTGCGGCTGGATTTTTCTCTCACTCTTCTTTCTCTTCTCCTTCCCTGGGACCCCAGGAAGAGCCCCTCATGTCTCCCTTTGCTTCTTCTGTCCTCTTGGGACCCTCACAAGGCTTTCCTGGGCCAGGCTTGCAGGCCCCTCCCCCCCAATGCTGTACTTCACTCCCCCCAGGCCCAGGCCCACACTCTGAGACATTTTAGTGGCTGTTTTGGGGCACCCTTCCTGCATCGGCTCCCTCCGAATGTCTGTGAGAATTTCATCTGTAGACCTTGGGTGGCATTCTGCAAGTGTCCCATCCCTTCCTTCTGTATTTGGATGTCTGAATTCCTTTCATGGACACTTAGAAAACCCCCAAGAAAGGCTTGTTGAATGGACCAATTGAGTGGGCAGATGGGGGTGAGGGTCCTGAGGTGAGTGGCCCCATCCCTACCCCTGATTCTCCGTCTCCAGTCAGACTTACCAGGCAACTGGTGTGGTTTTTCTCAGCTGCTACCGAGAGGGACCCAGAGATGATGAACTGTGTGGGGAAGAGAGAGGGCCCAGTGAGGCTTTGGCTGGGACACTGAGCAGGGCAAATCATGCCCAAGTTCTGTCAAGAAGACACAGGTGTAGGCAGAGAACCACAGGCTTTCTTGGCTGCATCCTGGCCAGACATCTTGGGTATATTTCTGAGGATGTCTTAGTGGTTCTGTAAGAGGCCTTTGTCCTCTGGCATGGTGGCACATACCTTTAATCCCAGCACGTGGGAGGCAGAGGCAAGCAAATCTCTGTGAGTTTGAGGCCTGCCTGGTCTACATAATGAGTTCTAGGACAGACAGAGCTACAAATAGAGATTCTGTCTTAAACAAACAAACAACAATAAAAGAGGCCTCTGTTTTGAGACATAAATTCATAGTTTACAAGGTATGTTGATGTGGGATTCCCCTCTGTATGCTGTGAATATTTTTTTTACTACCATTGGTTAATAAAGAAGCTGCTTTGGCCTATGGCAGGGCAGAATATAGCTAGGCAGGAAATCCAAACAGATACAGAGAGAAAGAAGGTGGAGTTCCTGTAGCTGCTGAGGAAACAAGATGTGAGGTAACAGGTCACTAGCCTCATGGTAAAATACAGATTGATAGAAATGGATTAAGTCGTACGAGCTAGTTAATAATAAGCCTGAGCCAATAGGCCAAACAGTTTGTAATTAATATTAAGTCTCAGAGTGGTTGTTAGGGAACTGGCGGGTGGGAGAGAAACTCTAGTTACAGTATGTATTTTCACTGACATCATATTACTAACGCCTCATAGGGTTTGCCCTTCAAATAGTCACTCCTTCAAATATCTACTGAGTAGCAGTTGGGTGTCAAAAATGTAACAGAGCTAGCTAAAATGGAAAAGATCTTCCTCTCATGGAGCAGATATTCATTTAAGCAGCAGCCCCACACATGAGACCATGTGGATGCATGCGTGCATTTGTTTGTGTGTGTGCATACATGCATGTGTGTGTGCACTAACACCTGTCGTCCAAGGTCAGGGTGTCATTCCTCCTCAGGAGTTGCCTGCGTTATCTCTTGAGAAAGGTTCTCTTACCTGGACTTGGTGGAGCTGACCAGGGAGGCCAGGGAGGGCTGCCTGATCCCATCTCTCCAGCGCTGGGATGGCAAGCCCAGGTTGGCTTTTGACAAGGGTGATGGAGACACGACTCAAGCCCTCATTCTTGCCAGACAAATGCTTTTACACACTGAACGATCGCTCTCCCCAGCCCTGCGAAGTTCTAAGATAAAGACTGGATACAGAACTGCGCATGCCCTGCCCAGCCTGGTGATCCTGCTGTCTCCTGAGACTGACAAGCAGGTCCTTGTTTACTTCTCCCTCCTACCGTGTGAATGTGACACATTTTGTGATAGTTTGAAGCAGGAGGGAGCTCAAAACAGAATGCAGAAAGCTACCTTTGTTTCCTCCTGAGGCAGGGCCTCCTTAGACGTCTGCTTGCCAACATGTTCCTTCAACTTGGGCCCACTATGGAGCTTAAGAGCTGGGACTTAAGGTTTGTTCCCAGCCGTTTAGTTCTAGCTGTGGAATTCAACAGTGCTGGTGTCTTTGAGTTCTGCTTTTAGGGGCTTCTGAGCTCTTGCCGAGATAGCCTGGGATATGCAGAAGGGACTGCACTATCATACACAGTGGGGCTTCAGTGTAGACCCCATTAAGCTGACCCCAAAGCCTGTGCTTTCTGGACACAGTTGGAGGCTCCCTGGCACCAGAGCGCCGGCACTTTCGGTAGAGCCACGCACTGCAATGCCACCTTGCAAACTTCTCTTCGGCACCTAGGAGCAGACAAGGAAACCTGGTTTGGTTCTCCACTGGGGTATGGCCAGCGGAATGGACGCAGGACAGAGAGACTCCCTGGAGATCAGTCCAGGCAAGGCTGGAACCCATAGAGGGAACGGAGGGGCTGCTGCAGGCGTGGTGGAGTTGCGGGGTTAGGGTGCTGGAAGCCCAGGTTTAGACTGGGCTCTGACCTGCTTGGTCCTCACAGTATCTGTTTGCCTGTTTGCTGGGAGTGGATCAGGCCTAGGTTTATGATGTAGCTTAGGGGTGAGTGATAACTATTATGCCCAGGTTAGTCTGGGAGGCAAGTTAGACCCTGACCTAGGATGGGCTAAGGCTAGGAAAATGTTGGGGGCTGGGCAGGAAGAGGTAGAGCTGGGCAGGAACACGCCCCAGCATAGAATGGCAACTCGGGCACTCACGCAAGCTCCTCCCCAGAAGGGGACGCCACCTTCGATGAAAAGCATCCCCAGGTGACCTCGTCGGACCATGAGCAGGACGCTGCCGAAGCCAAGGTGGATGAGGCCAATCAGGATCTGCACGGTCTGTGGAAGGCATCGAGGGCTCAGGTCACTGACCTCCGGCCATGAGCTCCACAGCGCCCCCTGCCGAGGAGAGCGACCGATTCCCGCAGATCTGGCTTCCCACAGCTGCAGGGAAGTCATTTCCCTTCCCCTGGGCTGAGGTCAGAGCATTAAATCAAGATAGAACCAGCTTTCCTCAGCCCACTAGGAGCTCCAGACCCCTGTGTAATTTGTGAGTGGGGCTGTAGTTGTCAAGGACAGCTCTGAGTTGCTTGTCTGATTCTCTTAGCCCTGGTTCCTTGACTCTCAGCACTCGGGTAACCAAATGCCTAGCTTCCCTTCTCCCTATGTGTAGTCTTTTCCTAGTACATCCTGGCGGTGGGAGTCACAGCCACTTCACTGGCGGCAATCTCCACTTCATTTTCTCTGTCTCCCTCCCTCCCTTCCTTCCCCCACCCTCCTCACCCCCTGTCTTCTATTTACCAGTGGCCCATGGAAACATTCCCAGTTGTGGGATGGTTTTTCTAACAGTGGGGACTCTCTGGGGAGTGTGGCCTTATGGAAAATTCTGATGTATTGCTTTTCAAACATTTTTGGTGACCAGACCTGAGCAGAGAGAGATAGGGAAGATCTTTGAGTCCAACCTATGCCCAGGCCTGGCACCCCTTTCAGCTCGGGGTGTCCACAGGGCCTCCAGTGGTAAGGAAGTGTTTGACACCACCCAAGGCAGCAGTCTATGCACAGCGTCTCTGTGAGCAGTGACGGTCACAATCTTAGGGTCTTGGGGACTGTGGTGTGGGAGAATTGTCTGTATTCTGTCAATCATGTATTTTAATAAAACGCTGATTGGCCAGGCAGGAAGTATAGGTGGGTCAACCAGACAGGAAGTAGAGGCGGGGCAATGAGAATAGGATAAGGCTAGGGAGGAGAAAACTCCCTTAGTCATTCCTGTACAGACCACCGAAGAGGCAGCATGTAACTTGCCCAGCAGAGAAAGGTATGGAGCCATTATGGCTAACATAGATGAGAATAATGGGTTAATATAAGTTATAAGAGTTAACAAGAAGCCTGACCTAAATGGGCCAATCAGTTTATAACCTTATGGAGTCCTGTGTGTAATTTCTCTTTAGGATTTGCCGGCTGTTGGGGTACCAGGCGGGACGGAAACCCCAACAAGCCAGCCCCACATACTACAGGACTGTATATCACTTTCTAACGTGAGTGCCAAGAATTGGGATATTTATGGACACAAACTTCTGTATTCTGTTGCTTTCTCTCCTCCATTGTCTACCCTCCATCTCTCCAGCTTCCCTGGGCAGAGGGGTGTGTGTGTGTGTTTGTGTGTGTGTGTGTGTGTGTCCTGCTGCCAACAACACCATCTTTCCCTGCCACTGGAATAACTCCCATGAAATGCCAGCTGCCACTCTCTGCAAGCCTGTCGCACTGCACAGCACTGCACAGCACTGCACCGCACTGCACAGCACTGCACAGCACTGCACCGCACTGCACAGCACAGCACTGCACTGCACAGCACTGCACAGCACTGCACTGCACAGCACAGCACTGCACTGCACTGCACAGCACTGCACAGTACAGCACTGCATAGTACAGCACAGCACAGCACTGTGTTGGCTATTTTCATATCTGTCCTCTTTTAACCCTGACACAGTGATGTGAGCACCATCTTAATTTGGAGCCCAGGAGACTGAACTCATAGACTGTCACTAACCCACAGATGTGGAGGAGTGGACCGGCTAACTCCAAAGTGTGCTGCCTAGTTTTATGTCACCTTGACACAAACTAGAGTAATAAAGGGTCTTCAATTAAGAAAATGCCTCTTTGAGATCAGGCTGCAGGCTGTAGGGCATTTTCTTAATTAGTGATCAGTGGGGGAAGGCTCAGCCCATGGTGGGTGGGGCCATCCTTGGGCTGGTGATTGCAGCCTAACTTAGTACAGAAACAAACGGAAAAACTTAGGGGCATATATTTTAAATAAATAATGGGGTTTAGCCCAACACAGACAGCTGAACACAGCCAGTTGCAGGCACCCTAAGGATCAGATCACACCCAAAGTAGGCAAATGCCCACTGTCACCACTGCTCCAGCAGGAGATCTCCCAGCTGTAGCCAATCAGGTGACCTCGCCATTGTTACAGGTGTTGGCCTGTGGAAGTTAACTGCTCATACTGCTGGGTGGGGCTTGAACCTCTTTTGGTTCCGAGGGCTTCCTGGCTTCATGAGTTCTTGGCCTATGATTAAACTCTGTTATGATTATGAACAAAGAACAATGATACACAAGCATAAAACATCATTATGAAACTCATTGTTTTAACATCAATTGAATTTGAAGCTTTTGTTCATAGCAATTCACACGCCCATCTATCCATCATCTATTTTTTAACCTATCATCTATCTTATCGATCAATCACCACCTATTATCTATTAATCTATTTATCTTAGCTATATATTTATCCTATTTATTCATCCTACCTATCTCTCCTCTACCAATCATATTTATTTATCATCCACTCTTAATTATATTCGTCTATCATTTATCTGTCTTTCATCATCTGTCTAATCTATCATCTATCTTAGCCATTTATCCACCTATCATCTATATTTTATTCCTTCTTAGAGACCACTCTCTAAAGCCATTTGAGATTAGAAGGGCTTGGAAGCTCTACAGGAGTTGGCTCTTGCCTACCATTTCATCCTCATCCTCTGTCAGTTCTTCCTTTGTTCGCTACGTTCCGGCTATGTGAGTATTCCGTATCTCCCTTCAACAAGCCACACCCGTTCCCACCTCAGGGCCTTTGCGTTTGTTGCTCTTCTACACAAGCAATCCTACCCTTCACCCATCCTTCCATTCATCCATCCAGCTCTTGCTGGGCTGGCTTTAACACCTAAAATTTAGCTTCGGTGTCACCTCCCCAGAGAGCTCTTTCTGTCTTTGCTAATGTTCAGTACCCCATTCATCATTCTCTCGCCGCCCCCCGCGCGTTTTTCAAAACAGAGTTTCTCTGTGTAACTTTGGAGCCTGTCCTGGAACTCACTGTGTGGACCAGTCTGGCCTCGAACCCACAGAGATCCGCCTGCCTCTACCTCCCTCGTGCTGGGATTAAAAGCGTGCGTCACCGCCGCCCGGCCTCCATACATCATTTTTAGCTCTCTTTGGAGTTCTGGTCATTTGTTTACTGGTTTATTTGGTGAACTCCGAGGAGGGAAGAGGAGCCTTGTCTGTCTTTCTCATTTCTTGTATTTATCCCCTGCCTTTGCCCCTCTCTGTTGAGCATAAGGCTCACTGCCTGCCCAGTAAGTCTGTCTCAGGTCACATGGTGGAATTTCTCTTACCCCTAAAGCTTTGGGCTCTCCGGTCAAGAAGGTCTCTATTGGTCTTAGGTCAGGTGGTTGGGTGGCCCTGGGCGCCTGCGCCCCCAGCGGTGACTCTTCGAACTGCATGATCCCTGGAGGCTGGCACATGGAGGTGGGCAGAATGGCTGGAGGCGGACGGAGGCCACTGGCGTTGCTGGGCGGGATGACGACAAATACACCATTGCTGGCAGGAGGTGTGGACATCGTGTTCAGAGAGCCTGGGGGATGAAGGCTCAGGAGATAAAAAGGCAGTAATGGTCATTGCACAATTGCTTCCGGCACACCCTCCTGCACTTGCTTACTGAGGTCTGGAGTTAATAGAGCCCAGATTCCCGACTAGAGCTGGGGGAAAAAGAAGAGACTACTCACTGAAGGGAGTAGGCTCTTGGTGAAAGCTAAGGCTTTTTTTTTTTAAACTTGAATCTTAGGATTTTTTTTTTTTTAACTCTGACTCTGATCTTGATTTCTCCCATACTACATGATGGAAAGAACTTTTTATTTTTAATGCTGGACATGGAACCCAGCCCACAGGTGAGGCAAGCCCACTATTACTGAGCCATATCCCCAGCCCAAGTGGAACCTTTGAGAGGAGCATATATGTATACATCCTCCTTTCCCTGGAGAGGGTGAGTGACTGCTCAAGAATACACAGCCCTGGGAAGGTGGAGCTTAGTTGAAGTACCATTTTACTCATGGAAAGAGAAGGACCAGACAGGGTGTTAACCCACTCACCCTTCCTTCCTTCCTTCCTTCCTTGCTACTGGCCTGGGTAAGCACACTAGGGAATGCTGACCCGTTAGCTAGCTGTCAGGCAGTAGCTTTCCAGGGTGCTGCAGTTACTAATCTAGTAGATTAGATGACATTAAAACAGCCAACCTCCTTGCCATTTCACACATGGTGAAGAACCCATCAGACCAAGTCAGCTCTGTGACAGAAGGCAGGATTTGAACCTTGACCCATGTAGTCATATTACTATGAGACAATGGGCAATATGGTCACCTCTTCCTGTCTCAGTTTCCTGACCAAAAGAATAAGGGCACTAGGCCCTGTCTCATTATAGGTCTGGTAAAGGCCACAATTTACACAGTTGAATTGTTCCAGCATCTTCACTTGAAGTATGTTCTTAAGCCTTATACAGTGCATAAATATGTATTTACCCATTGCTTTTAGGGCTTCAGTTTGTGTTCATGAGGCCTTGCAGCCTGAAGGCTGCACAGCTTGTGGGGAATCAGGCTGCGCTGTGCTCTGAGTTACTCCGTAGTGTGTAAAAGAATGGCTTTGGGCTGTGCCCTGCCTTGCGTGACTGTTTGAAAGAATGTTTGAAAGGCAGCATTTGGCTGCTCTGTGAGTTCAAACGAGGCCAGATGGCTCCGTGTCTCACTGTGCTTGTCCATAACCACCTGCTGCCAGTGCCACCCACGAGGCACAAACAATTTACTCCTAAGGATGAAAAGTGCCACAAGGGTCCTGTAAAGAGGACACTAGCGCTGCAGTGGTGATGGCCCCACTGACCTGGCATCTGACCACCCAATGTGTGTGTCATGGGACCAACAGGTGGATTGTCCGGGGCTTCCGCTCAGCTTGGTCCCCACTGCTTAGTGTGGCCTCCTGAAACTGCTGCTAGTCTGTCTATTTGTCAGAGAGAGTCCTGCACTTCTTCTCTGTGGTCCTGCGTCTCTGTAGCACCCCTCAACCCTGCAGCCCTGTGCCTCCAGCTCTCCAACTGGGGTCCTTAATATTGTATCCAACCAAATACAGAGACTTTTTGTTTCTCTATTAGCTCGCTGCCTCTGATAAGGCCTCTTTGTACTTTTATAGTCATTCTGTAACTTGTAAAACACACACACACATGTACATACACACACACACACACACACACAGTGAGATGTATATTGTGTGATCTGGGAATTAACACTAATTCTTAAGATCAGAATAAGAGCACCCATTTTTTAACAGCCATCTCCTAAGGGGAAATCAGGAGTACTTGACAAATCGCAGCACACGAAACTGGCTTGGCTTGTAAATGTATTGTTAGCCAATGCATTCTGGCACCATGGAAAACACAAATGTGTCTGTCTGTGCTTCTAGAATAGCAGACTCTTGATGTAGCCCATTTCCTGTGCTCTGCAAGGGACCTCAGTGGATGTGCCTCTTTATGCTAGGTTGATGGACTTGCCACATGTGTGTCCTCTGTGCCATTTACTCTGTGATGGGCCTGATCCATACTGGTAATGTAAGTGCCTGGGCCCTGTTGGGACTGCCTTAGAGAGGCATAGCTGAGTCCCCACACGGAGTGTGGTCAAGCAGTTTCTGCTTCAAGTAGGAGATGCCTCTGCTGTGGTGTGATCCAGACACAGGCAATCAGTGCATAAATAGGTGGGACTGTGTTTCAATAAAGCTTTATTGACATGAGCAGATGGGCTGGATCCAATTGGTGTGCTGGAGTTTTCCAACTTCAATCTCTGCCTAGACCACAGTAAATGGTTACTGGAATTTACTTGTTTACTTACAACATTTAATATAAATGTTGTTTACATTAATTTCTGTGGTTTGGAGTAAGAAGGAAAATACATAGAACTACCAAATATTTCTATACAATAATGGTAAAGATGGCTGTGGTGGCTGTGGCTAGAGTTTGGGTCTTGAATGTCCCTCAAAGGCCCACATGTTAGACAAAGACTTGTTCCCCAGCATGATATGACTGGCAGGTGATAGACCCTCATATTACTTAATTTTCTTATTTCTGAGACCAAATACTGAAAAATAAACATGTTAAAGCAAAGAGGGTATATTTTTGCTCAGAGTTCAAGGGAACATGGTCCCTCATGTTGGGGAAGGCATGTGCAGGAGAGTGAGCAGCGGGTCCAGTTCACCTGTAGTGAGGAAATGTCAAGTTGACAGTGAAGGGTTCAAGAATAAGAATATAAAAATGTAGATTCCAAAAAATAAGAATGTAGATATAAAGAAATGGAAAGTTGCAAGCCTAGGAGAACGAGAACAGACTGTCAGCATCTCTCTCGGCAGCTTGAGGATTAACTATTAACAGTGGGTTACTCCGCTTTACAACCCGTAGCTCTATTCACAAGGTCAAAGCATCTCTCTGCAAACTGAGAGCCTAACACCCCCGGCTGTCCTTGGTTAACACAGATATGAGCTGAGTTAAGTTTTAGGAGATAGATATATGATGTTTGGGTTACACATTATCCCTGCTATGTGAAACTGGCAGCATCAAAGGGGACGATACAGGGCTTCAGTAAACACCACCTGGAAGCACCAAGGAAGACAATAGATTAAGTACTTAGTTACTTCTGTTAATGGAGATTGTAAAGTAAGGCAATCTGTATCTGAGTTTTACCTTGAGATTGTAAAAATTCCTTTCTTCAGATGGAATGCTTGGTACACCTTACTATAAGAAGGTGGGCTCAGAAACTGGCCTCTGCCACAGCCTTATAAAAGCCATCTCTGGCCGCGGTCTCAACTGGCTGATAAACTTTTTGTGCCTCATGGAGATTTTTTATTTTATTTTTTCCTGGAATCTGGTTTCTGGGATAAAGTTTGCTTCTGTTCTTTTTAGACTTTGGTGGTCTGTTTCCATCTTTGCATGATCCCCCACCCCCACCCCGGACCCAACAGACAGGAAGTAGGACCAGGCTGTTATCCTCAAGCCCTGGCCACAGCAAACCATTTTTCCAGAGAGTTCTATCTCTTAAAGATATTTCAACTTTCTAAAACAATATCCAGCTTGAGACCAAAAGGTCAGGTACCTGAGCCACAATGAACATGCAAGAGACAGAGGTTGGTGGAGGGTCCTTTGGCTCCGGGGGTCGGGCCTTTGGTGGGAGTTTTGGGATCTTAGCTTCTTCTTGGTTCACTAGCCACACACTCTGGCTATCATACCCTACCTCCCCACAGGTTCAAAACACAAGGGCAACTACACATGGGCTGAGCCGGAAACAAACCAGTTCTCTCCATGTGCAAATCACCCCAGGGATTTGTGATAGCCTCTCAGAGGTGGGCAGCCAGGATCAGAAGACAAAATGGACAAGAATGCCTTTAGAAACTGGCGAAGGGCTGTGGTATGCTTGTTTCAAACCAGTGTTGTTACCTGTTTTAGATCATTACTGAGTTTGAAACTTTCTGAGGTATTCACAAGGCACCAGCTGGGCCCTACTTCAGCTATGGGATTAACAGCTTGTGCCAACCGTTTCTCTAGGGCACGCCTGTCTCTGGAGGCTTTTGATACATTGTTTCTCACCTCCACTGTGACCTGATAGTTCCACAGCTTATCACCTTGGTGTGATGACCGAGGTTTGCAGCAGAGAAGGGACATGCTTAAGGTGACTCTACCGGTGAGTCCCAGGGCAAGGATTCAAGTCCACGTCTGTTTGTGTCCCAGCCGGCACCTGTCCCTCACTGCTGCCTCCAGGGGCCATCTCTGTCCTTTGCTTAACTGTTCTAGCTACTATATTCTGGGTGCCTTGAAGTTTGGTGTGGTCATGTGACTTGTTTTGGTTGAAGCCATGACCGACAATAAAGTCACAACTTCTGAGCTAAGAAAATAGTGACTCGTCCAGGGCACTGTGGAGGGTTTTCCCCATTGTCATAGTAACTAGTCATTGCAGACAGAGGCCACTGTATCTGCTTGGGTTCCCCAGTGAGTAACGTTTCCAGGGCTGTGAAACAGGAGGAAGAGACCACTCTCTGGTGTCTTATGACACAGGATGGGGATGGGGGATAGTAAGCCATGAGGACCCAAGTTTCATGTCCAGATATAAAAACGCTGGGCATGGTGGAGTCCTTAGACTCCCAGTGCTTGGGAGACAGTCATGCAGTGTCCTGGGATCTGATGTCCGGCTTGTCTGGCCAAATTGGCTAGCTGCAGGCCAGCGAGAGACCCTGTCTGAAAAACTAGGTGGATGGTACCTGAAGAATGACATTTGAGGTTATCCTCTGGCCTTTACATGTATGTGTGCACACTTGCACATGTGCTTGCATACATGTGCATTGCATATATACATACACATTTGCGCACACACATGGACACTAAGCTTTGCGTCCCTGAAGCATAATCTAGCTTCACCTGACCATTGATCCTCCAGAAACGGATATTTATAATATATATTATATTATATATATCCACTTATATATGAGAGCCATTATCATTAAAGAGAGAGCCATCCAATTCCCTTCAGTATTCATAGGTGATCTAATTAAAAACCAAAGGGGGCTGAGTGAACCTGCCACAGCCACACTTCCCTAAGTAAGGTCATTTTAAATATTATTAAGGACAGTTTACCGCCTGAGTCAGAAAAGGAAGAATTTTGGCTAAAAGGACATACTTGCTTTCATAGTTGTCATTTCACCGGGACAGGTGACAATCACGTCTGAGGGCCGTGATGAGTCAGTCATTTGTGCAATGGGGCCGTTTTCTGGGGTCAGAAGAACTCTGGGCTCCCACGGGGCTCAAGCCACCCAGCAGGGAGTACTTGCGTCATTAACAGCATCTCTCTCAGGTGGGTGGTGAGAGCCCCGTGATCCCAGGTGAAGAGAAACACCTACAGAAATAGGCTTTGCACCCTCAGCAGGAATGCATGACCCAGGTCGAGATTCACACTCTCCCCACCAGCTCCTCCGATGCCAGTGACTAATCCACCTGTGGTGTTCTAGCTGACTCCACCTCAGTGCTCCCTCTTCCTCAGGTAAGCAGAGGAAGGAAAGCCGCCACACCCTGCCTTATGTCCTGGAAACTCAGGACGTCCAGGACAGCTGTGTGATTGTCAGCTGCTGGATGAGCCGCGGTAACAACAGTCCTTCATGCAGAGCCCCTAACAGGTTATAAAGAGCTCCCCTCTCTCCCTGGGGAAGTCCTGGGATGGAGATGTTCTGCAGGCCAGTCTGCAGAAGCAAGTGGATAGGTCGTGGGCCTTCGGATACCAGTCTCTGGAGTGAGTGACATCACCAAGGGTGTCAGGGGACTTGTAAAGGCAGGTGGCTAAGAAACTGTGGGCTGGTTTTTATACCCTCCTCCCAGGGTTGCAAGTGGGGCTGAGAGGAGATTTGACATTGCTCAGAGAGACATGTCTTTGGTTGTCTTTTGCCATGGGAGAGAGGCTTCCTTGAGGAACTTGCTCAGTAAAAGCCATAAGTAGGCTCTTTTCTCAGGGAGGGTGACAGCAACTCACAAAACACCCAGCAGGCACATGGCCCCTGTCCTCTTTCTTCGTTTACCACTGCCCAGCCTTGGAGATATCACTGTTAGTCAGCTACTGTGTGTACGGGGGGCAGGGGGCAAGAAAAGGCTCAGGAAAAGATGAGCATCACCCAACATCCTTCTTACCTGCTGCCCCAGGTCGGGATATGACCAAACACAAGACCAGACAGGCTAATTGCTAATTACTAAATTGCTATTGTTTAGCCCGAGAGTGACTGGAAAAGCCACAGGACTGCCTAAGTGTCACTCTGCTGTAAATCTCTAAAAATTAATGTAAACAGTTTTACTTAGAAACAGATACCTAGTTACATCATAGAACATACACATTTGATTCACATCCTACAAAGAAGTACCAATATCCAAATTCAAAAGAGCTAACTCTCACAGAGCACACTCCGCCTTAGGCTTGATTGAAACTCCAAAACCAAACCAAACCAAACCAAACCACGGACTCTCTGGAAGAGAATAATGGCCACCTAGCAATGTCTGGCCCCATGCTGGGCATGGAGGAGGCTTTCACTCCTCCTGGGCTTCAGTTGTTAACAGCCTCAGTGGCAGGGGACCTGTAGTGGTGGGCTGCTGGGGCATGCTAGCTGGAGCACCCTTGGGGTGCCGGCACTTGTCACGGGAGTGTCTCTAGACACCCTCTACTTCCACCCAGGTCCCAAAGCAGCTTTGCTTATTTCCGTGTTGAAGCTGCCTTTTGAGGAGGTGTTGGCAGCTGGAAGGGAGTGCCTGTAGGGGGTGGGGATTCTGGGATGAGATGTATGGGCACACATCTGGGACTTGGCAGCCTGCCTTAGTAGTTAAGTCAGATTCTGCTCCCAACCTGGTAAGAATGTACGTTACTGTCTGGGGAGATGAAGTTGAGAGAATTTGGGCAAATGGCCTCGGTTTCCTCACATGTCACAGAAGTGTATCTGTAGGAGTGGGGGTGAGGCATTTAAGGCTTCTAAGACTTCCTATATATACAACCGGGGTTTGCAGCCATTTCTCAGACCAGGCAAGAACTTACATCTATGTAAGTCTGGCCCTGTGGCACCAGGCATCTTGTCTCTAATCTCAGCTTTTCCAGGACAGCCCAGGCCTGCCCCATCGTCCCAGAAGTGATGCCACCAGATGCAAGCATGCCATGGGGAAACATCGCTCGGTCATTTTCTCCTACCCTCGGGTTAGCCTTCACATACCCACAGTTCTACCCTGGCACCCACTACTGCAACGGGCAGCAGAGACAGCCTCTTCTTTCCCCTGACTAATGCTTCCTGTCTGCAAATGACACAGTATTTGTTCAGAGAGTTTTCTAGCAGAGACCCTTGCCATGTCCCTCTCCCCTCAGAGAAGGGGCAGGCAGGACACCTGTGTGTGATTTGGAATCAGCTGCCTAGGTTGGACTTCTAACACTAATTGGCTTCTGGAAGAAGGAATTTTCTACTTCTTGGGAGGGCGATTGTCTCCCCGGGATCCCTGGCAGGTACCTGAGTAATCTCTGGCCCTGGTTTTGAGGAGAGAAGACAGATACCCTTCCTTTGTCCCCCGTTCCTGTCTAGTGGGTCTCTCATTGCCCTTAGCTGGAGTGGGTGGCCCTGAGATCCCTTCCTCTTTCCTTCCTTCCTTTCTTCCTTCCTTCCTTCTTTCCTTCCTTCCTTCCTTCCTTCCTTCTTTCCTTCCCTCCTTCCTATCTTAGTACCGGGTGGATTTCCATCAATGATCTCTTTCTCTTTCCCTCCCTGGGGGTCTCCATAACCCCCCACCTTTTCTCCTGCTATGTTCCCTGGGTGGTCTTTCTAGAAGGACAATGGGGGTACTCACCGGCTTGCCACGGCTGCTGTGCAGGCTGCTGGCTCCCCTCTGCCTCTGCGCTCCCACATTCACACATTATCCTGTGAAAACCTTGCTATTCGTGTGTGTGGGGCTTGGAAATCAGTGCTTGGGAGCTGCGCCTCTGGTAGGTTCCTAGTCCTTCCTGGCTCAGAGGCCTCCGCCTGTCTCCCAGAGGTGGGGCCAGAGGCAACCACTTATGTGGTCGCTGGCCTCCAAAGGGCCCAAGAGTATCCCATTCCTTGCTTCAGTCTCTGGAAGGAACCATCAAGGCCCAGAGAGGAGAGTGAATTGCTTGGCACCCACTACTAGAGTTAGAGCTAGGGTGGGGACCCATAGGCTTTCACCTTCCTCTTTAGCCCTGAGAGGACTAAGCAGACTGCTTGTGTTCTGTCCTCCCAGGTTTGACCACAGGTAAACAAAGGGCCCAGGAGGCTCACAGCTTTCTGATGGCAGGTGGCAGAGGGTCTAAGTGTAAACATTCATGTGAATATGTGTCTGTGTTTGTATACACAGTGCCCTTCAAGTACTTAGCAAATCAGTCTGTGAGTTTCTGGGTTCAGAATTTCACAAAATATCTTATGAGGCAACTGGGAAAGCCATATGATTGGCTAGGACCTGTAGGCTTAAGGCATCCTGGGGGCAGGTCTGGACAGCTCTCAGCTAACCCTGGGATAGATCAGTGTGGCAGATCGAATGTAAAAATGGCCTTAGACCTTGGGTCAATGAGTATCTACACCTGAAGAGAGGGTCAGAGTTATTTTCCCAGGTCCTCAAAACTGGGTTGCCTAGTGACTTCCCTTGCTGGTGCAGGAGAATTGTCTGTATTCTGTCAATCATGTTTTAAATAAATTTGATTGGCCAGGCAGGAAGTATAGGCGGGGGTCAACCAGACAGACAGGAAGTAGAGGCAGGGCGACGAGAAGAGGAGAATTCTAGGAAGGAGGAAGCCCATTCCTCCCAGTCCTTCCCAGATCATGGAAAAAGCAAGATGTGACCTTCCTTGCTGAGAAAGATATTGAGCCACGTAGCTAACATAGATAAGAATAATGGGTTAATATCAGCTACAAGAACTAATAAGAAGCTTGAGCTAATGGGCCAATCAGCTTATAGCTTATGGAGACCTCTGTGTGATTTTCTTTGGGACTTGCCAGCTGTGGGAACTGGGCAGGACAGAAACCCCAATGAGCAGGCCCCTCATGTTACACTATGCCAACAGGAAGTGGGAGTGATCAGTTTCAATCTGAGACACAGGAGACCATGAGCTCTGCACCTAGCACTGAGCATGCCTGGCTTCCCCTGCTGGAGGACCCCTGTTGGAGGATGAGGCACATGACATAACTCAATTGTCCTTGGTGAGGCCCCACACGTGCAGCCATGGTCAGCAAGGCCATGGAGTTGATCTTCCACTGAATATAAATGCATGATATAGTTTTACCAAGTCCAGGTCAGACCAGACCTGCCCAGGTGACAGGAGACTGGAAACAAAGTGAATTCTCTTTTGTGATATAGCAGAGGGTCTGCCTCTGTGTTATAGGCACAGATTTGAGCCTAGAGGGCGCATGATAAGACTTCTATCCTTATGTCCCTGAACGATGAGTTAGACCAGGGATACATGGGGAGTGACTGGCAGGGGCAGTTATTAAGTAAGAGAAAGGTTCTCTTGAGAACGGAAGTAGGATAGACACCTGGGACAGCTCAGAGGCTCAGAAGTGTTTGGCATTCCAACACCAGGGCCCTTCATGGTCTTTTGCGTAGAACCACCTTTCCCACTTGTCTTCCGTATGTGGCGCCATTCTCTCTGTTCTTTACCTGTAGCCTTGGTAGGGAGGTTTCCAGTCTCTGCCAACTGGCTTCTCATGTTAATCTTGATGCCTCTTTCCCATGTTCAAATCTCTTGTGATAACCTTTGGGGTAGCCTGATCATCTCTTAATACCAGCAGCCGTAGGCATTGTCTGGGCTTAGGAAACAGACCCTCCAGAGCACAGCTTGTTGGCACGCTGATCTCTGAGAAATGGAAGAATCAAGGTCTCTGACCTTCAGCCCTCCTGTGTCTCTCACCCTCTTCCTCCTTAGGACTTGCTTCTCAGAGTGCTCTTGAAATTTCATTATCTAAAGACAGACTTTCTGGGGGACTGGAGAGATGGCTCAGCAGTTAAGAGCACTGACTGCTCTTCCAGAGGAGCTGGGTTCAGTTCCCAGCACCCACATGGCAGCTCACTGCCCTCTGTAACTCCAGTTCCAGTTCCACAGACATGCATTTAGGCAAAACACCAACGCGTATAAAAATAAAAAGACAGATTCTCCACCAGGCCTTATTGTTGCCCCCATCTCATCAAGCAGGGGAGATTAATGTCATAGGACACTCACTGAAGGTCAACACCTCAGGCTGTCACAAGCCATCGTCTACAACTTTTATTATTCAAGAAAAAGTTTATCTGTGTTCCTGCATTGAGACCATTGTCCAGCCTGCACCCTCCCTTCACCCCGCTTCGCTCACTGCTAGCCCTTCCCTCCAAACCTCCACTGCTTATTTGTTGCCCATCTCGCTCTTCTTCCCAGGAATTTGTGAGATTCTCCTGCAGGCACCTAATACATTTAAATATCTTTTCACCGGTTAATCAGTCTACTGTCTGCTGACTTGAAAGATTCTGGAAACTTCAGGGGCTAGAGAAGAGAGATAATTCCCTTTCCCTGCTGAACACTGAAATTTCAGAATGGGAAGGGAGTCAGGCATAGTGGTACAACCCTGTCACCTTAGAATTTAGGAGGATGAAGGAGGAAGATCAGGAGTTCAAGGAGTCTGAGGCCAGCCTGGGAAAAAGGTCTTGGTTTATCTCTTTCTAAAACCACCTCTCCCTCTACAAGACAAACAATGAGGACAGGAGAAGCCTGGGATGTGGTCCAGGCTGAAAGTCCAGTGCCCACTCTCCCTACCTCTACCTCTGCAGCTTCACATAGCCCATGACCTGCATGAACTGGCTGGTAGGATCAGATCTCCCTCTCTTGCTGAATAATTCTTGTCCTTCCTTTTTTTGTTGGATAGGGCTGAATCTGTTAGTTTTATTTGTATACTGGGCTATTGCTTTGCTGGGAAGTACTACATAGCAGACTGGGTACTAGGACACAGAGGTGTTTCCATTCTGCTTGTCCTGATCCGTGGGAGGTCCTTTCCTACCTGCCCTGTGCTTCCGCTGCTCCTCTGACTCCTGTCCACGTTGTGTCCCCAGAGCTAAAGCACTGATGCCTGCCTCAGCCCTTCAGCATGTGTCCTAACTGATAAAGGAAGATCTAGTTCACCGTGGGCAGTGCCATTTCCTAAGAAGGTAGCCCTGGTATGCAGTAGAAAGATAGCTAAGCATGTATGAGCCAGGGAACAAGTCAGGAAACACATTCCTATGTGGTTCCTTCCTCCAGGTTTCTGCCCTGATTTCCCTCATTGATGAACCATGTCCCTGGAGCTGTAAAGTAAGCTGAAATAAACCCATTCCTCTCCCAAGTTGCTTTTGGCCATGGCGCTTGTCATAGCAACAGATAAAACAGAGCATCTTCCCTCTGAGTCTCAGTTTCCTCTTGTGAGAGACAGACTGAGGATATCTGTCTATGTTCTTGTTGGCCATTCAGTCTCTGGGAACAGTGAGGTCGAGGCATTGTTCACGTGTTGCCTGCCCACTACCTTTACTTCCTAGTACCTGGATTTCTGCATTAGAATGCATTTGAGTGGACTTAAGGACCCCGTTCTTATTGCAGGGCCCCCTGGTGACTGCTCATCAGATGTATCACCAGAGCTGTGACCGTGTGGAGCTTCGGGCTAGTGGATGCTGCAATACGGAAGTTTCACTCTTTACACTTTTTTTTTGGCCCCATCGCCCTTCCTTATTGCAGGCAGAAAAGAGATGCTTGAGGGGTAGAAGAGACAGTTGGTAAAGTGCTTGCTTTGCAAACATAAAGACCCTAGTTTGATCCCCAGCGTCTGTGTTAAAAAGAAAAAGCCAGGTATGATGGCACATGTTGGCTCTCCTAGGTCTGAGGAGGTGTGACAGGCAGATTCGTAGGCCTCACTGGCTTGCTAGCCTAGTCTACTTGGTGAATTCCAGGCCAGCAAAAAAGTCTCAAGGAGAAGGAAGATGAAGAGGAGGAGGAGAGTGCCTGAGAAACAATATCTGATACTGTACTCTACATGCATGCACATACATGTACAAGCACACTCATACATACCCTTACACCAGTATGGACCTGTGTACATATCAAACACATGTACACACACACATGAAATAAAAAGAAATGCATGAACATAGGCACTTAATGAAGCAGTGTCGGGAGCCAGGGTCACTCTAGTGAAAGAGGCTCTTTGGTCTTTGTAGATTCTTCAGCTGGAAACAGCCTTGGGGATTGGAAAGGAGCCATGGTTATGCTGTAAAATGGCACCAGGAACATGGATCCTATTACTTGTGCTTGTTGCCATTGTAAAGACTCTGGGAAAAGACAGAAGGACAGAAGAGGGGGCTGGAGAACAACGAGGGACTATGGTCTGTAAGGTCCTGTTATAGAGCCCCTTTGTACAGGTAATAGAAGATTTAGAGTTTGCATCTCTACCACTGCTCAACCCAGACAGCTTTATCTTGGGTTTGTGTGGCTTGCTTGTTACAGTTTGAGCAGGCACTGTGGAGTCCAT